CAGTACCATTTACATATATGATATGATCGTGATAGTAGAAGTATGTGTAGGGACAATATTTTGGAAGAGGCAAATAAATAGTGCTGGTAATAATAGTGTGTCACAAGGTCTCAAATGACCATTCAGATTTTGAATTCAGAGTTGTCCTCCTCATAAACCGGTTTTCACACAGGACTATAGGACCCAGTCTGTCATGCTGTTTACCCATCACTGGGTTAGGGGAGAAGAGATGCTTTCATCCATTTCCCAAGGGGAATTTTAAGTGAATATAACAAATTCTCCAATTCCTCAATCCGAGCCGCTATCCATTCATTAAGCTACCGTTAAGTTTGTTACACATTTTAACGATAATATATAAGAATATCGTTTCCCAGGCTAGTTACTGATTATACCCTAAAATCAATGGAATTGGTCAATTTCAGGGTAGCCTTTATTGTGTAGTTATTGTATACAAGAAGAGATTATACATACATACACACACACACACACACACACACACACATATATATATATATATATATATATATATATATATATATCCTTAGCAACTGGAAGGACATTTTGCTTTGTTAGTTACTTTGTTTCAATAAATTCATTTCCAATTTTTGCCTTAAAAATGTCGATATTGGGCGACACCCATGGGCTAATATTACAGTTTTCCTATTGCCTTTTACATTTATAAATTTTCATGTATATATATATATATATATATATATATATATATATATATATATATATATATATATATGCGATGAGGGAGAAAGACACGCACGTAGTTTTTTGCTGGGTCGAGATAAAAAAGTCACTAAATTAAAATAAGTTTATCTCATGCTAATTTACCATAAATTCGCATATCAAATGCAACCTACTTCCTGCTTCGGGAAAATATGCACGTATTCTCTGTATTCAGTTCTCTTGAAAAGCGTTCTGCACTTTCACTCAGACACACACACATAGACACACACACACACACACATATATATATATATATATATATATATATATATATATATATATACACTGCTACTTCTAAAGACTAGAATGCATTATGCAATAATTATTAAGCATTGCAAATATTTTCTTTCAACCGAAATCAAGTGCTTGATATTTTTAATGTGTGTAAGGTAATTCATATTTAGCATATATAATAAATACTATTTTGCAAACACTCACACGCGCCCACGCACACATACTCACATATAAAGTAAGAAAATATAGATGTACGTTTGAGTAAGTGGAAGGGGAAATTTTAAAAGGAATTAATGGATTTTCATCCGGTATTATTTCAAAATATTTATTTCATGTAAACATCCATATATTCATTGATTATTTCCTATGTATATTATTTAATGTATACTTCATATATATTATTTTATATGTCAGATTTCATTATTAAATTCAACGTTATATTTAGTAACAAGAAATCATGTCGGATTTGTAAAACTCAATAAGCTGTTTAAAAATTACTTTGTTTATATTTCAAATATGAAAATAAGTTAACAGTTATAGGCTTCTAAATTTCCCATAGAATTAATTTCATTTGTTAAAAAGGTTAATTGATTCTTTCAACAATGTGTAATCTCACTTTACTGAGCAAATGGCCAGGACATCTAATCGCATGCTAGTTAAAGAGGAATACTTCCTTTAATAAATATATATATATATATATATTTATTTTATTATATATATATATATATATATATATATATATATATATATATATATATATATATATATATATCGCTGTGCCGCGCCAAGAAATATTTATCCCCGGAATCGATCCGCCAGATCTACAAATCAACAATTCGCCCTTGCATGGAGTATTGCTGCCATATATGGTCTGGAGACCCTTCTGTTTGCCTCGGGTTTCTTGATAAGCTCCAGAGGCGGATATGCAATATAATTGGCCCTGTTCTGGCATCTCGTCTACAGTCGCTCTCTCACAGACGAGCCGTCGCCTCTCTCTGTCTTTTTTACAAATACTTTCATGGCAATTGCTCCGAGGAGGTACATTCGCTGGTTCCCAGACTTCATGAGTTCAAGCGCCCTATGAGGCTGGCATCCCGCTCTCACCATTTCACTGTCGAAACTTCTAAATGTAGCCGTCTCTTCTACTCCAATAGCTCGCACCTCTCGCCTGTGGAACTCCCTTCCCTATTCCAGTTTCCCTGATAGCTATAATCTCCAGCTGTTCAAAAGTAATGTCAATCGACATCTCCAGTTGCCTTGATCAATCCACTATCCTTCTCCGCATCTTTTCCTCTATCACTCCTATCTGATCTGGCTCCAAATTTTCTGTAACACCTTGCGTCCTAGTGGCTTCTCGCCTTGCTTTGGGTGAAACGCTTAAAATATATATATATATATATATATATATATATATATATATATATATATATATATATATATATATATATATATATATATACGACTGTCTCTAAAGAAAGTGAACTTTACCTGTAGCTTTCATTTGTTTGTTTTTTAGTGTTAATTTTGGTCTGACTTTTATTGGTTAAACGATCTCTTTCAACTCGTTTTTAAAAGAGGCTGGGAGGTTGGTGTGCATTCTAATAAGTAAATTATGTTAGGACTTCTACAGTTAAAATATGGTCAGACGCTGCAAAATGATTCCCTTAAAAATAGTAATAATAAAATTATAGGTTTACTGAAAAACCTTTCTGCTCGATCATGAAAGCATACCAGAATAAATCTGTTGTTTGATCACAACGCAAGAATTTGGGTAATGAGCCGGGATGAGGACATTTCAGCAACTCCTCGTTTATAAACATAATCTATAATGGTAAATATATAATGTAATTTAGATAATTCCCTGTTCAAATAGCGTCGTCAGAAATAAGAAACTCATTTTATTTAGACCAAATATGCTATCAAATATATTAGAGAATGCGAATCAAGTTTGCCATAGAAAATTGTTTATTTTCTTTAGCAACAACACATTGAAAATAAAAGTTTCCAAATTGTCTTATGTATTTATTATTCCTTCAGATACTCGGCCATATTTAACGCAAATTCTATTCTCTAAACTATACTCCATAATAAAATTATGTTAACAATGCCATATACGTCGAGACGATTCTAAGAGAAATAGAAATTCTACAAGTGTTTTAGATTGGTGGCTACAAACTTAACGCATAAGCCAATGACACTGTGTTGTCAGTGCACACAGAATAAACTTGCAGTTAAAATGTAGACAAAGTAGTAAAGGAAACGTTAAAGAAAAAAGACGAATCATTATAAAACAAAATCTATTACAACGGACACAGAACAAAATACGAACTACACATTGGAGACATCAAACTTATGCAAGTACATAAATCTAACTATATAGTGAGTGTTATTATTTGATTTTTATTTTTTTGTACCAAAAAATTCTTGTGAATTGGTCCGTGATTTTTGTGTAAAATAATATCCATTTTGAACCCCAAATTTCAGAGCTTTATATGTCCATAACTTTTGAACCGTTTGGAATATTTGCATAATTCAAACAGTTTTGAAGTCTTTGTATAGAGCTCTTTATAATAAATTTGTTAAAATAGCAATAATCTGAAATAAAACGACTGGGAATACTAAGCATGATATATGCTAAAATGAACAAAGAAAGAAAATAAAAAAAACAGTTAACAAGAAATAGAAAAGAAGTCAAAGCGACAACGAGAGATAAAAATAAGCAAAGAATCGGTGTTAGATGAATTTGTCCCTGATAAAGAAAAGTCCACGTTAACGTGATAAACGGATTCCGTAACATTGTTAAATTAGAGGGATTTTATACATTTATCGAATACGTAGGAGTCGATATAGCTTTACTGACTCCGACTCCAAGGACCCTTATTTGCTTCCGACTCCGACTCCGACTCCAAGGACCCTTATTTGCTTCCGACTCCGAATCCGACTCCAATGACCCTTATTTGCTTCCGACTCCGACTCCGACTCTACGACTCCGACTCTACGACTCCGACTCCGACACCGACTCCACAGACTTGAATATGACACAGAAATCTGGATGCTCATTTGAATATGAAATGATGTCTATCGGAAAACAATACAAAGAACTAAACAGCAGGAAATTTTTGTGGAAAAAAAAAACAAAAGTTTTATATATTGTATGCTATCATTATACTACATGACAGCGAATACTGGAGAATTTCTTCGCAGACGAAGAAGTGAATTGAAGCATCGGAGATGAGGCTCTACATAAAGGTGCTGATTAGCAGCTTAGAATCTTTTAGCAAAATAGAAAGAACCGGACTTAAATTCAGAAACAGACAGAGATATGTCTGGGGCACATAGTGAGGAACGAATGGTTTCATGTTCACACGAACAAGGCATATTGAACTCATGAAGGGTAAAGTAAAACAGTGAGAAATTTAGTTAACAATTTAGAGTGAATGTATCACTAGACCTGGAGTGATAGTAAGGGAAAAAATATTGCTTTGAGCAACAAAAGATAGGATTTTGTGAACAACCATATTCCGCTACGTAATTAGGATGTCGGTGATATTTCAGCACAACTCACGTATTTTCACCCTTTATCTGCCATGTCTCTTCAGAACCTGGATTATTGAGATAGACCAGTTCCATTTCTCAAAATCCGAAGCGATTACCAAAGAGGACATTTTCTTTTGCAATCAAAATACTACAAATAATAATGTTGGTTTGGTTGATAACTTTTCAATCCTTCACCTTTGAGTGAATATAAGTCATATAGTTTTTTGCCTTTTTTTTTACTCGTTTTTGAAATTTCCATATGAAGACAAACATATTTTCTAAAATTTTATGCATAAAGATAAAGACTTTGAAAGCACGATACAGGTTATTACTAAATGCATTTCATCAGAATAATATTAAAAAATAAGCTCCCTTCAAAAAGAAAGATAAAAATTGAGGAAATGAAACAAGAAAATATTTAAGACCTGTCAGACTACAAGGGAAGAATGATCATTCATTTCCTGTTGGAATTCCACCATAAGGCTTTCAAGCCAATGTTCCGAGAAATGGTGCCTGTTCATCCCCTCAGTAAATCCACCCACTTCATTCAGCCTTTAATGATGTCCGCTTAATGGACTCAACTTGACATACAAAGTGAGCGATCAGTATTTCCTTTACCAGTCCAGCGTTTAAGCTGATCCTCGGGCGACAAGTACAGATCATGTAAGATCTCTGAATCATTGATTAGTGGCCATTCATAATTGATTTAGTCGGGAAAGGAAAGCGCCCAGCAGTCAGTTAGAATACTGATCCAGTAACTTCTACCGCTGTAAGAATCTCTCTTTCTCTTGCCCTTTCTCTCCTTATTCCTCCTTCATTTAATATTTCTATTCCTCTTTTGTCTCTCTCCATCACACCCTATCAGTCACTATATTTATGAGATTTGCACTCTCTCAAACATATTCTCTTACTCGCTTTCTCTCGTTTCTTATTTGAATAAGGCTACCATTTGCACACACACACTTTCCTCTCTCTATCTCTTTCATTGTGTTTCTCTTGCAGAATCTGATTTGGTTTTCCTTCTCTCTTGTTCAGACCATTATTCTTATGCAATCTCGTTCTATCTAAAACTCTATTCCTTTTTGTTACTTTTTTTTTCCTTTTCCACGCTTAAACGTTCTTCTACTTCTGAAGAACGCACACACACACGCACATGCGATATCACTCACATTCCCTGTCTCTCTGTCTGACTGTCTGCTTCTATCTATCTATCTATCTATCTATCTATCTATCTATCTATCTATCTATGTGCAAATTTCCTTAGTATCAGACACCAATTTTATTTCCTTTTGCCATTCTCTCATTTACAAATCATTTTCATTTCTTCACACTCTCCCACGGGATAGCGCCCTTTACTACCCTGTAGAGATGCGTAGAGATTTGGGGAAGATGATTTCCTGCAGGTCAATGGACGGCCGGGGTCAGTTAGTTCGCCGACGAACCCAAGTTGCTATGTAGACCACAAAAGAGACTCACGTCATAAGTCTTCATATGTAATATAGTTGCCCTATATGGGCCAAACAGGTATATGCATATTTGTATATAATATCTTGTATTACATAGCAGTATTTAATATCTATTTGAGATTAATGGTTATTTGTCATGCCTTTCTTTCAACCATCCTAGTCCTTCCATTGCTTGTATTAAAGTGTTAGTATATAAGAGATATAATAATTGCAAACTGGAAATATTCTCTCTTTCGTTTCATCCGAATTAACCTAATTAACTTCTATTTCTATCCCACCCCTTCATTCTTTCTCACGTCCAAATAAACACACTGTTGGTCATTCTTATCCCCCCTCTCTCTCTCTCTCTCTCTCTCTCTCTCTCTCCATCTCTCTCTTTCACGCACACTCTCGATTTTGCTTAAATCTATACTATATATCTTTCTCTGTGCTTTCATCCATCTTTTTTCCCTATCGCTATGTCATCTAATATCTTATATGAATATTTAATCATGCAAATGTAGAGATAGAAAATATTAGTTTGGGAAAAATGTCGCGTTTAAACACGTGATTTAATGCCACAAACAACTGAAAAATGTATAATCTTTAAGGAAACACACACACACATATATATATGTGTGTGTGTGTGTGTGTATGTTTTTATGGTATAAAATTTAACAATATCTAGGAAATATTTAACGATATCTATGAAAACACACACATACACACACACACACACATATATATATATATATGTTTTTATGGTAAAAAATTTAACGATATCTAGGAAATATTTAACGATATCTATGGAAACACACACACACACACACACACATATATATATATATATATATATGAGTTTTTTATGGTACAAAATTTAACCATATCTAGAAAAAAGCATAATTTATATGGCATTTTTAAAAAGCTAAAAAAGAACAACGGGTTTTGTCTCAGCCTTATCAAGTTTATTTACTGGGATATAAAATATATCTAAGCGTGTAAATTATATTAATATAACGAATGGAAGAAAAAAAAATGAATTTCAAGAAAACTAGAGTCGAAGTCTAATAACATTCTGACCGAGTAGGCATGCCCTCTGCTTACAAAGTGAAGGCCCACGGGATCTAATATACAAGGACTCTATAACTTTGAGGTGAAATGTGGAGTGGTACCTAGATAAAATCAAAAAACGGCCCGCATTAAAATCAAACACACACTCCCTGCTATTTATTACATGTTCAGCAATAGCAGAGACAGAAGTATTGGTTAGTTGGCTTTTCCTGGCAGCCGGATTCAAAATCTCAGGGCGTAAGTGTTGTTTTATTCTCAAATTCAAACGTTGAGACGTCCTCTCTATGTAGTCGTCCACAACTAAATTATTTTGATAAATAACTGAACTAACATGATGTGGGGGGACGTCCTTACGAATGGAAGAAAAAACAGGACAGGTAACAATTATTACCCAAACATTAGCCGAAAAATAACAGCTATTAATCATACGCGAAATTCGTCTAGATAATGCCATATAGATTTTGCTTTTTCCTACATATATATATATATATATATATATATATATATATATATATATGTGTGTGTGTGTGTGTGTGTGTGTGTGTGTGTGTCGTAGAAATGGAATTAAGATACCATTAGTTAATGACCATTTTCCCCTACGACATTTAAAATTTTAAATTCGCAGGATTTTTCATACAGTTTATCGTGTCAATTTGTAGAAGGGGACTAGTTAGTTGGGGAAGGAAAGAGAGGGAGAGAGAGAACGTCGGAGAGGACAGAGTGGAAGAGATGACAGAAAAAGGCATAGTTACAGGAAGTAATGTGGGGTATTACATTATGGAGGTAAGAGTGGGCAGAGAGAGAGAGAGAGAAGGGAACCGTATGAGCTGACCTACATGTTAATGATCTCCCGGCTAAAATCGATTCATCGGTAATCCACATAAATTAATGAAAAAATCAAACATGTAGAAATATCCTTAAAGTGTACGGACGCATGTGTGTACGCATTTATATTCAAATTCCCTCCAAATCTTTGAAACACTTCCCTTAATTTTTAGGTTCTTATTTTATGGATAATTTTAGTACATCAATAATTCTGAATCATCTGTTCATATTCTGAAAGGTTCAAAGAATCTTTCTATTTCGATTGTGTTGTTTGTGAATTTTGATAATTTCTACGTTAAATGGGAAAGAAAGAAAAATGATAAGCTTGTTTTTAGCATTTGAACTTCTTTTAAATCCGGAAATAACTTGTTAGAAATAGTAAATATATGTGCCGTTTATAGTGAGGGTCCCATACCTTAGAATACGGTTATTAAGTGGTTCACTGGGTTTAGAAGTGTGAATTTGTTGTAGAAGAGCCAGAACGTTCTTACAGGCTTGCAGGTGCTGATTAAAATGATCCCCATCCCACGACAAGTGACATAGAAACGTTACACTACATTTCTCATATGAGCGTTATGAGGCATTATAAAACACTATATATAAATTCTTACAATATTTTGCGCTTACGCAAGATATAACGAAAATAATTATTGAACATTTCCATTTTATTCTGTACTCAAATGACACATATTTTTAAAGGAACTTAATTGTGAAAATGATCAAAAATTGTTTGGTTAAAACAATGGTGTTCGAATAATTTCCCGAGGATAATGAAATGAGCCAAATGTAAGTTCGAAACACCGGTTTTCATCCAAAGAATGAGATGCTGTGTATCTGGTAGGACTGGAATGGTATTGGGTTGAATTCAAACGGGTACTTTTTTTTTCTATAAGAACTGATTCAAAGCAGAAATCGAATAAAACCTCCGGAAGTTTCAAACAGAATAATTTTATTTTTCAATAAAACCAATTCAGATTCGAGTCGCTTTAAAAATTCCGGAAGATTATTATGGTTCGGCTACTTCACAGACCGTATTCAACTGATCTTGCACATTCGGATTACCAATGATTTTTTACACCCTCGCAATTTCCTTAATGGGAAGAACTTTACTTCACTGGACGTCTTTTAAAAAAGATTTAGACAAGTTCATTTCTCAGAAAAAAATACCAAATTCTTGGATGATAAATTCATGAAAATGTCTCAAATATAACGAATGGAAATGGAACAAAATTGCCTATATTTACATTATTTACATCGTTTGGACTGTTGCCCCTCATCTATATTGCCATATTCATGCCTTCAAGGACACATGAACCATTGGATAAAAGCACTGGTTGAATCCAATGACTTGACCCAAAGAGCTGAATACCTGGCTATAGCAGTAGTGAACAAAAACACTGAGAGACCCGGATGTTCCACGGCACTGGGACTACAAAGCTCTACCCCGATGACGAAATAAAGTTTTCAGTTCGAAATTCCAATCTCCTGAAGAAGACCGAAACGTCATGAACATGACAAAAATATAAAGGCCACGTTTCGAAGAACGTAAAATAATCACAATTCTTCATCTGAGAATTAGAAACCAAAATTTCCTATGTATTGTTGAATAAATCAATGGATAAATAGGTAAATATTATCTTTGATATTCACTTAATAAATAATGCAACTATTTGTCCAGATCAAATAATGATTTTGCAAGCGTTTTTCGGTTGTGATTTATTTCGCGTAGTTTACTTTTTGCGCAGAATCACAAAAATGAAGAACCCAGAAAGGATCAAACACACTACAAACGATTTGCGATTTCAGCTTGCTGATCGTTACATCACACGACGCCCGAAGCCCATCACAAACCCACGGGCTATCGAATGTTCTCGTTGATAATAAAGAAACACCTGTTATTACGGAGAATCAACAGGTGGCATGTTATACTTTAAACTGACATATTACCCATATAGCGATCACCTCGTGACGCTAGATACCATCAAAGTTAAATGCCTTGTCTTTAACCATCTCCTTTGGAAGCGATTAATGTATCCAAACAATTATATTCTCTTCATTTTTTTTTTACCTCGAGAAACATTCTTTCAATTTAAATACATTTTAATTCAACATTATATTTCAACACGGGGCTTGTCACTGTAAATCTGAAGAGGATCTTTTTTTATGTTTTGCAAACACACATTAACACCTGCTTCATCATCGAGACAAACAAACAAATCTCTAATTATATGAAAATCATTTGTTTTCTTAACAGATAATAATTTGTTTTTATTGTCTTTTATTTGATTCTTTCAAACATGCATTGTATTGGATGCGATGGATAAATTGTCGTCTGAATTATGCAAAAAATGAAAATGACACTGTCATCTCAATGTAACAGATATATTTGCCAACATGAGATAAAATATCTTGAAATACTACAGAGTAAATCTCTATATCTATAATTCTCAAAATGTGTGTGCATGCATGTGTGCCTGTGTGATCGGATGTTGTTTATGCGATTCCACAGTCTTCATCCGATTTCGATGATTTCTTTTTTTTTTTTTTGATGGATAATTCTTCAGTGTCGGTTTTGAGTTCAAATTAACTGGAAAAAATTACAACCTTGAATGTGAAAAATCGAAAAAAAAACTCATTTGTTAAACTTGGCGCAAAAGTCAAATGCAAAATTGGATGTCTGTAAAATCGTATCAACCATCATCAAGCGTATCAACCAACAACTATTTGTCAGCAATTTTTTGAAGAAGGGATTGATGTTGAGGGCCTTTCTCAATCTATATATAGCAGATAATTTACTTGTGTATCTGTTAAAATCAAGAAAAAATAGAAAATGGGTTATTACTTTTTTATGGGAAACGAATTGATGGTCAAAAATATCAAGTGGATGTTTTAAAGAACGAAAGAAAAAAGGTTAATTTAAAAGCATTAGATGTATCAAATAAACAGACATTGTTGCTAAATTAATAAAATGTATGGAAGATTTTTATGAACTTTTAAATAACTACGAACAGCTCAAAAGGAATATAAAAAATGGTAAAGAAAAGATTACTGAAACAGCAGGATGGCGTGATGATATGAAATTTATATATATATATATATATATATATATATATATAT